GGCTGGGGATTTAGCTCAGTGGCACAGCGCCTGCCTGGCAAGCACAAGGTTGTGAGTTCGATTCCCGGTACCGGGGGAAAAAAAAAAAAAAAAAAGAGACAGGAAGTCAGACAACAGGCTTAAAGACTGACAAAGATAGGAAAAAAATAAGACTAGAGCAAATAAAGAGAATCAAATAATTGAGGCCACTCTTAAGTAATTTTAAAAACTACTTTTATGATAATTGCTGAAAAGGATATTAGCATATTATGCCATTATATGCATGAAAAAGGGATTCTTTTGTGAGATAAGTTGCCTAAAACCTGAGAGATTTTTTTTTTGGTGGTCAGGGTGAATGAGAAGTAACTTTAAAACTCTGAAATTATATACATATGAAACTTTATAGTATTTTACTTAGTGAACCCGTTTGCATATCATTTGTTGAACACTGTCATTTCAAAAAGCTTAGAAAAATTTTAACTGATTCTTTTGGGGGTGTTGAGACAGGGTCTTGATATATATTCTAGGCTGGCCTTAAACTCACTAGGTAGTCCGGCTCCAGGCTGGCTTCAAACTGGCAGCAATCCCCCTGTTTCAATCTCTGGAGTGCTGGGATTATAGGCATGTGCCACCACGCCCAGCTTCTGATAATTTTAATTATGTGTTCGCTTAGGGCGACTGACCAGGGTTGAAATATTTGGCATCGTTGCTTTTCAGCATAGCCACAGATCAAATGAAAGAGGAAGGAATGAGCTTCCCTTTGACTTTTCTCCTCTGCTTGCTTCCTGTTTCAGAAAAGTTAAAGTGTCAACACCCACTTTCTCTTGCATATCATTCTTCCCTACGCTGGGGGTAGGGTGGGGTGTGCAATTGTGAGGGCTGGAGGATGGCCTCCTTACAAAATTTCCTATGTAGGTTTCCTACATTCACTAGTGAGGAACAATAAAAATTACTTGTACAATGAATACAACTTATATACACCTTACAATTCAGATCAAAGCCATCAACACCCAATGAGAGGAGCAATCCTGACTCACCTCAAGGGATACTGTGAGGTAAAAATGAAATTGCTGATGTGAAAGTGGTCAGCTCTAAAGTTCTGTTTAAGTTCAAAATCTTAATCCCTGGAACTTACACTCTGGCATCTGTAGAACATATTCCAAGAAAAAAATATCTTGGCGGTGGGGGTTGTATGATTCTTGTCTTACCCTTTGTTCTTTCCCACTGTGCTCTTTTGCATTGATGGAAAAATTAGGAAAGTGCCTTTCCTTGGTCAAATCTATAAGAAGTGTTCAGGTTTTCCATCTTTTAACTGAAAACAAATCAAACAAGAACCAAAAAAGCTAGATAAACAAAACCTACCTAGGACTGGCTCATGTCAACCTCATCTGGTGTGGAACTTTGTCCTGTGTCACTGAGGCTTACACACAGAGCACAGAAGGGAGAGGGTGTCCCTGCTTCGCTGTTCTCCTAAGGGCACTTTAATTAAAGCACTAATGTTACATGCCTAACAAGTTTGGCATGCCTCAGCAAGGTGAGTCATAACACCATCCGCCCCAGGAGCACAGAGCTTGTCCAGTCACCATGTGACCTGGGAGAGGGGGTGGTGAGCTAGACTGGCTTATCAGAACTGCATGTTCCAGCCAGTCCGTTATGGAGCAGAGTGAGAGAGGCACAGGTCACCGGGTCCTCTGCATGACATGGCTCTAGCATGTCACTGCGTATCTAGCTGAGCACATGCCAACTCCCTCTGGAGACAGTGATGAGGCAAACCTCCTCAAAGAGTCCAATTCATGCTTTCCATTCAGAGAGGGCAATTATTCTGTTCATATTCATGGCCTTTCCTCATCGTACTGATTGATGTTTTGGGTATTGATACCTCGTGCATGAATGACCCACAGTACGTGAAAAACATCTCCAACCCTCACCATTACCAACTGTACTCTTCCTCCCCATGTTTTTGTCCTAATATCTGCGTGTAATTTAGAACTTGCCAAGCATTCTGTTGATTCTGAAACCCTAAGCACTCTGTGTAATCTGCTTGCTTTGTCATTCTGAAATCTTTTATGCATACATTCATACATCCTGTTTTGTTTAGTATGGGCAATGCCAACTTATTTACTGTAATAAGTGTACTTCTTTATTCTTCTGAGAAAAGAGAACAAAATCCAAAAAACAAACAAACAAAAAAAAAAAAAAACACTTTTAAGCTATGCTAGCGTCTGATCCAGAGGATGTTGCTGAAATATTTTAACACAGTTAGAGGGAATTCCACAATCTTTTTTGTCTTTTGATTATACATACTTATAGCATTGCTACAGAAAGGACACTTTAGAGCCTGATGGATTAATACTTTCTTCACTCACTTTGAAATGTTTAAAATTGGCCAATTCCGGTAGTGAGAGGGTTTAAGAAAATCTATAGTATCTGTATGGTCAACGATACTTTCACGGCTCAGTTTTGTGTTTTAGAGATCTTATACAGTCAAATTTTAAAAATAACATCTGAGAGTGGCCTGGAAATTCTGGTAAATACAGTTATTGTTGATTTTGTGTGGGGCTTCATAACCTTTATAATACTAGTATTGCTTGAGTATTTTTAAGTTTAGCTTTGGATGAGGAAAGCATCCAATTTGCAAAAATATTTTTTCTTTTTCCTTTCAGAGCTTCCATATGCAAAAATCACTATATGTGTTCCCTTGGGCTTTAGGTACTCCCTACCCCCAGACTCTACATGTGTATTTCTACTCTTTTAAAAAGCATATTTCATGGACTGTTTTCATATCCTCTGCACAAATTCACTCCCCGGCACAGCAGAGAGATTTTGCTTCCTTCTAGCCTCTCCCACTTAATTTTTCTTAAACCAATAGCCTAATAGCTTCTTCTGTGGCAAGTTTAGGCCTCAGAGAACAGCCACTGAGGGAGGCAGCACATGAAATTCTATTACACATTGATTCTATTACACATTTTCCCTTTGAAAATGTAATCCTTGAGAATTCCACACTTTCAAATGTGAGGTGGTTCCAGGTTCAACTTTTTTTATTTGAGGTTGTTACTAGGAAATTATTTGAGCAAGGAGTTTAGTCATCACCATATCCTGATACCCCACCAGAAAGATAAATTACTTCCTGTAAGTTAGGACATTTCATCTCCACCCACGGCAGTTCACTCTGTTACCTAGTAGACTGTAAAGATATGTAGTAGAAGGATTCCAGTTTTAAATATCCTCACAATTATTCACCTAGAAACAAAGATAAAAGTAAATAAGTAAGCTCAGCCTTTTCTTGCCTTAAATGTGTCGATTACTAAAGTTTTCTATACCATCTTGATCCTGAAAGGAACCCCAGAACACCATTTAATCCATCCTCAGACAGCTGTACAAACTAGCCCCCTGGTAGTTTTCAACAGCTGGGGGCCAAAGCTTCTTGCTATGATTTTGCCTTATTAAGACCCCACCCACTGCAGCTGAATGTGTATCCTTCAGAATATTGGATACAATGACTTGGTACTACCTAAAGGAGCAGACACAGATTTTTGTCAGGATAAACTCAGTGAGAACCATCATCAAAAATATTTTAATTTGGAAATTGTTCTCAGATCACACAACACACAAGTAGAAAATGACAGGCGAGTTGTTCTGAAACAATCAAAATGGGGCCCAATAAATCATTTCTAAAGGTTCCTTATACTGGCTGTGGTTTATCCTCTACCTTTCTAAAGTAGCACAGCAATGGAGCTTTCCCAACTTCTGTCAAATAGCTGTGTGTTGATTTCAGTTAAGGAATAACCTAACATTAAGTTCATGTCATGATGACCCAGACAGAGTGCATATCTTAGGAATGGAAATAAGAAGTCATTTAATATATAGCTTCTTTTTTCTTCCTCTGGTCCAACAAGTTGGGCATGCTTATGGCTATATAACAACTGTGTGTGCTTCTTACCTTATGTGGTTTCTTTTCACCAGCAGGGATCCTTTCATGGTTTTTCAGTGTCCAATCTCCACTGTCCTTCCAGGTGAATAGATACAGGGGTCATTAGCAGTGCTAAGACTACAAGCTGCCTCTTTTTGATACATAGTTGAAGGATTTGTTTTTCTGTGTCTGGGGGTAGAATTTTTAAAAACCTAATAGGTATTGTCCATGGCTTTCAAAAATCAGGCCGGGGATATAGCTCAGTGGCACAGCATTTGCCTGGCAAGTGCAAGGTGCTGAGTTCGATTCCTAGTACAAAAAAAAACCATACAAGTAATTTGAGTCGCTAACTTCTCCTGTAATTATTTTTTTGTTTGTTAATTTAATTTTTTAAAAAGGAAATGGATTTATTAATTAAGCAACACCATGGCTGGAACACAGAAAGACTTTGGTGAAATGGAACTTGCGGAGATTTTGAAAGAGTGCCTGAGACAGTGTAAGTCTCTGCTGAAGAGCCCTGGACTTCAGAATCCGATAGAATGGAGATCGCTCCAGGACCCACGGTGCATTCTCGCAGAGTCCTTGTGTAAGTTATCTAATCTCACTAAGACCGTGAACCACATATTTTGATAATAGCCACAGAATGACGCTTTAGAAGTTCTTTATGTTATTTATTTGTTAGTTTATGTCTGCAGTACATAATGATTACACTTAGCATGGGGAGTTGGTAATACGTATCTTGATTATTCTTTGTCCCATTCCTCTCCCATCTCTCCCTGCTCCACACAACTCTTACTCTTCTTCCCATTTACAAAAGCTCTCGTTTTTTCTTCAATTCTTTTTTTTCATCCCTTTTCTCGCCCCTCCTTCCCCCTCCCAGTATCTCTTGTTCCCCTTCCTATTTGAAAAAGATCTCCCTACTTCCTATTATCTATTTTTTATTTTGATCTTTATTTACATTTTGGGTTTCTCATATAAGAGAAACTATGTGACATTTAAGGTTATGTGTCTGCTTTGTTTTATTTAACATTATAGTCTCATTTTCCTGCAAAAGTCTCAAGTTTATCATTCTTTATGACAGAGTACTACTCCACTCTGTCATAAATACCACATTTTCTTCATCTATTTTTCTGTTGATGGACATACAAGCCATTTCCAAGATTCAGCTGTTATAAATTCTGCTGCTATAAACATGGATATGCATGTATCACTCTACTATGGTGTCTTTAACTCTTTCGGAAAGATACCTTGAAGGGGAATAGCTATGTCAAAGGGCATTTCTATTTGTTGTTTTTTGAGGAATCTCCACACTGATTTCCATAGTGATTGTCCTGGTTTACATTCTCACCAACAATAAAGAAATGCTCCCTTTTGCCAGCAACCCTGCCACATTTGTTATCTGATTTCTTGATAATAGCCATTCTTTCTGGAGTAAGATGGTATCTCAGTGTTGTTTTAGTTTGCATTTCTTTAACAGCCACTGATGTTGAACTTTTTTTATGTATTTATTGGCCATTTGCACTTCTTCTGAGAAGTGTATGTTCATATCTGTTGCCCATTTTTTATTAGGTTCTGTATAGGGGGGTCGAATTTTTTTTTGGTTCTCTATATATTCTAGATATTAGTCCTCAATTCAAGAATACCTGGATATATTTTTCCCATTCTGTGGGTTGTCTCTTTACGCTGTTGGTTGTTTCCTTTGTGGCACAGAAGCTTTTCAATTTGATATGATCCCATTTGTTGATTCTCAGTATTATTGTATGTGCAATTTAGATTCTGTCCAGAAAGTCTTTCCCTATGCCCATGTATTCAAGAATTTTACCTATTTTATCTTCCAGCAGTTTAAGTGTTTTTGTTTTAACATTTAGATCTTTGATCCATTTTGATTTTAGTTTACTTCATGGAGAGCTATATGGGACTAGACTCAATCTTCTGCATGTGAATATCCAATTTTCCCAGGACCATTTATTAAACAGGCTATCTCTCCTCCAGTGTAACTTTTTGGCCCCTTTGTCAAAGATCAAGTAGCTGACTCTGTCTGGGGTTGTTGTTGCTTCCTCTATTCTGTTTCATTAATCTACATATCTTTTTTTGTGCCGGTACAATACTTTTTGTATCATTGTAGCTCTGTGACATAACTTCAAATCTGAGATTGCGATACCTCTAGCTTTGATTTTGTAACTCAGGATTGTGCTCGATATTCTGAGTCTCTTCTGGTTCCATGTGAATTTTAGGATTGTTTTCTCTAGATCTGTGAGGAATGCTGTTGGTATTTTGATTGGAATTGTCTTAAATCTATATATAAGATTTAGAAGTGTAGATTTTGACTGTGTTGCCTCTACTTCTCCAGGAACAAGGGATATTTTTCCACTTTCTGATGTCTTTTAAAATCTCCTTTCAGAGAGTAATGTAATTTTTGCTGAAGAGCTCTTTCATTTCATTGGTTAAGTTACTTTTTAAGTATTTAATTTTACTGATACTATTATGAGTAATATTGTTTTCCTACTTTCTCAGTGAGTTCATTATTAGTGTATAGAAATGCTTTTGATTTTTGTATGTTGATTTTGTATCTTGCTATGTTACTGAATTTGGTTATTAATTCTAGGAGATTTTTGGTGGAATTTTTTTGGTCTTATAAGTATAGGATCATGTCATCTGCAAATAATGACAATTTGACCTCTTCCTCCTACATGTATTCCTTTTATTTATTTCTCTTGCCTGATTGCTGTGGCTCATGCTTTGAGAACTGCATTGAACAGGAGTGGTGACAGTGAACATCTTTGTCTTGCTCTTGGTTTTAGAAAAAACAGCTTTTAGTTTTTTCCCATTTAATATGATATTGGCAATATGTTTATCATAAATGTTTATCATTGCATTTATCAGATTGAGAAAAGATACTTGTATACTTATTTTCTTTAGCATTTTAACCATGAATGGATGTTGGATTTTGTCAAAGGCTTTTCATGCATCTATTGAGGTGATCATGTGATTTTTGATCTTGCTTCTATTTATGTAATAAATTGCATTTATTGATTTGCATATCCTGAACCATTTTTGCATCCCTGGAATGAAGCCTACTTGGTCATAATGTATAATCATTTTCATTTGTTGCACTCTGTTTGATCTGATAATAGGTATGGTAAATTTTTTATTCTTTTGTGTTTACTTAAACATGCTTTATTGCCTTCTTTGTAGTCTATTTTGAAGAAAGTTCTGTGGGCTGCTAAAAAGAATGTATATTTTGTTGCTGAGTGGAGTACTCTATATTTTTAAGTCCATTTGTTTGAAGATTTGGTTTAACTCTGATATTTCTTTGTTGATTTTTTGTTTAGTTGATCTGTCTTTTTGTGATAGTGAGGCACTGAGATTTCCTACTATGACTGTATTGATGTTTATCTGATTTTCTATGTCCGTTGGTGTTTATTTTATGAAGTTATGTGCACCATTATTTGGTGCATATACACTTATAATTGTTATCTCTACCTGTTAAATAGTTCCCTTAACCAATATGTAGTGACCTTCTTTGCCTCTTTTAATTAGTTTTGGCTCAAAGTCCACTTTGTCTGAATATAGAATAGCTCTTCTTGCTTATTTGCACATTCCCATTGCAAGAGATATTATTTTCCATCCTTTGATTTTTAGTCTATGAATTTCTTTTGAGGTTAAAAATGCTTTTTAATTTTTTTTTTTTTTTTTAGGATTTTTGAGACAGAGTCTTGCTCTGTAATTCAGGGTGGATTTGAACTCTCTAGCCCAGGTTGACCTCAAACTCACAGCAATCCTCCTGCCTCCACCTCCCAAGTGCTGGGATTACAGGCATGTGCTACCATGCTTGGCTGAGTCAAATGTGTTTCTTATATACAACTGTTTCTTGATCCATTCCACTAATCTGTGTCTTTTTTTCTTTTTTTTTTTCTGAGACAGGATCTCACTATGTAGCCCAGGCTGGCCTTGAATTTGTGGTGATCCTCCTGTCTCAGCCTCCCCAGTACTAGGATTATAGGTGTGTGCCACCAAGCCAAGCTAATCTGTATCTTTTCATTGGTGAATTGAAACTATTCACCTTGTTGGCTTTAACTGATAGGTATTGACTTATTCTTGTTATTGTATTTTCCTGCTGCTGATTCCTTTTGTTTCTTTTCTACGTAGTTGCTCACCCTCCCTGGTACATTCATTCCATTGGATATTTTGGCACTGTTAGGTTAATTTTCTCTTTCTAGGCTATCCTTGAGAATTTTTTGGCATACTGGTTTGGTGGTCATGAATTTCTTTTAGTGTTCTTCATCATGGAAATATCTTATTTATCCATCAGTTTTGAAAGATAATTTTACAGGACATACCAGTTGGAATTGGAAGTTCTTTTCTTTTAGAGCTTGAAACACTTCACTCCAAGCTCTCTTTGTCTTTAAATTTTGTATTGAGAAGTGGGCTGTAATTCTTATGTGTTTTCCTTTATATGTGATTCATTGCTTTTTCTAACAGCTTTTAAGATGATTCTTATGTTGAATTTCTTGCATTTTGACTATGATGTGTTGGGGTGATTCTTTTCTGATCATAGTTTTTGGGGTTCTATATGACTCACTTATCAGCATGTTAAACTCTTTTTTTGATGTTTGGGAAGTTTTCTACTATCACTTCTGTAAACAGGTTTCTCATGCCCTTTGTACTGTCTTCTGACTTTTCACTAATTCAAATTAATCTTCGATTCACCTTCTTTGTCTCATCTAGCATCTGTTGGATCCATTTTTCATGTACTTGTTCTGATCATTAAGATTACATCAATAGTTTTTTAATGATTTAAAATTTAATACTAATAGGATTTTCTCCCTCTTGAAAATAGGGATAGCATATTCCAGACACATTCTTTTAGGAGCCATTAAATACAAGTAAGATATTTACTCTTCGGTGGGTATAGTGTTGGGTGATTTACCTTGCTAGTCATTGATATGGTCCTGAACTTGAAATGACCGTGTTCAGTTTTAATTCTCTCCTTCTGGAGAACTTCAGTAATGCACGGCATCTTCTACTCTTAATGCTTACTCTTTATTAAGAAAAATATCAGAAAAAAAATCATTCAAGTAAACCATATTTAGGAATACAAATTTTCTTGGCAAAATAAGTAGTGCACACCCTTCAAAAAACAAACTAGCAGGCAAATCAAGAAACAACTAGAGACAGCCATCAGTAAAACAGTCTAGATTATTTTAATGGGAAATCACCATCATAATCTATTTGGTTAACCTGCAGCATACAGCTCTCTGATGAACTCCTACACTAATCCTGATACCTGATACTTGTTTCAAGAAAAGTCTGAAATAAAACCCACCAAGGCAGCTATTTTATTTAAGAGTAGTATTATCAACTACTGCATCTGAATTAATTTATATGTAGATTATATGTAGGTCATCATTATCTTAGAAAGTAGAAATGGATTTGGGAGTTCCGATATAGGTGGGAAGGGCTAGAGACATATTTTTTAAATTTTAGTCATTAGCTAATCACCTTTATGGTTTTTGTCACCTCCAAGCCACTTATATATTCCTTATGGCGTGTATGTGTGTGTGTGTGTGTGTGTGTGTGTGTGTG